GGCCTGTCCAGACAGGCCCTATATCCCAGGATGTGATTGCAGGTTTTCTGTTTATCCTGGATTATCTGGCAGTGTGGACTCATGATCCAGTTTAAAGCTGAAAACCTGGGATCAGATCCAGGGATATAGGGCCTGTCTGGAAGGGCTCCATAGCTTCACATGCCACCTATTTCTCCAAGGCCAAAGTAGTGGCAGTTGGATGGAGGGAGGGCTCTTCATCTGCTTCTGGGTCAAGCACACGCAAGAGCAAACTTCAGCCCTCCAGGTGTTTCAGACTTCAACTCCCACAATATCTAACAGCCGGTCTAGCAGTTTGTAATGTAATACAGGTTGAGTATCCCTGATCCAAAGTGCTTTGAACTAGAAGTGTGTAAATCACTTTGAGTCCTCCTGAGGGTGAGAAAAGCGGTATACAAATACTGTAAATAAATAAATAAAATGTTTGGGATCATGGGATAGCTGTTTACATACACAATGACACATTTCAAAGATAGCACCCAAGATGAAACACAAAAGAGGCATGCACGAGGCCTCTTTTCCCACGTGCCCGGCAATGCCACTGCGCATCCCTCTCTCGGCATTAGGAAATGTGCGCCCTGCATCGCCCTCCTTCTCCATGCACTTCCTAACGCTGGGAGAAGGATGCACACTGGCGTTGTTGTCTCCCTTGGCCTGCAAGGAGGAGGAGGAGAGGAGGACAACGTGCGCACTTGTGAGGGAAGGATGGAGGGAGAGCATGCTCCCTGCATGAGGGCTCTTTCTCCGTGCGCCTTGCAATGCTGGCGCGGGTCCCTCTCCCGGAGTTGCAAAGCGTGTGGGGGAAGAGAATGCAAAGTGCATACCCAGGAGCTGATGGAGCACAGGGCCTCTTCTCCTGTATGAAGAAGGGCAGCATTGCAAGTGCCTCTCCAGGCAGCTGTGCCATCACCCCTCTCAGGGCGGCAAGGAGGCCTCTTCATGAACGGAAGCGACTGAAGGTACTGCAAATCTAAATTATTGTACATGCTTCCCCAAAACCCCTCCAGTATCAGAGTCTATTTTCCCCAAATCCCTCCAGTATTTTATGTTGGAACTACATCAGCACTGACAAAGAAACAACAAGAAATACTATTTACCCACAAGCATTAAGAAATTACATATATTAGAAACCAACTTTCTTATTACTTTCTTTTCAAGATCACTAGACTGGATCACAGCAACGCGTGGCAGGGGATGGCTAGTGTGTGTGTGTGTATGTATGTATGGATGGATGGCATGGGCCAACTTCAGCCCTTCATGTGTTTTGGACTTCAATTCCCACAATTCCAAACAGCCAGTAGGAAGTGCCAAATACCTGGAGGGCCAAAATTTGTCCATGCCCCCATATATATATATATATATATATATATATATATATATATATAGTGATTGGTTTTGGGGAGGGGGACGCCAAAATACTGTTTGCTTACCATTGAAAATTACCTAGGGCCGCCTCTGAGTAGGAACCTCTAAGTTGGTTAAATATGCCATAGGGGAGGCAAGATATCTGCTGTCTTCATTGATAAGGAAGATTGGAACTGAGGCCAGATCTAGTTGGCGCTCTGTGTCTGTGATACGTTGTTTAATAAGTGCTTTGGCTTGATTGTAATCCATAGCGATAGTAGACCTGGAGAAAATCCCAACGAGGAGATTTTGGATGCTACCGCCTGCTTCCATGTGGATTGGAAGTCATCCTCCATGGTTAGTGGGGCAAGGCCAAGGGGTGCACGGGACAGTCTGAGCCAGAGGTTAAGTATGGCCACCCACACCCTGGCCTCCACTCTCATAAAACCCGTCTCTAGTCGCAGGGTGGCATTAGAAACGCATTTAGGGACCTGCAAGGCCAATCTCAGAAACTTTGACTATCAGTCAATACTGCCATATATTCCAGTTCAAAGCAGATAATGTGGGATTTTGTTCAGCTGTGCAGAAGGTGGCTCAGTCTCCCCAGCATCCCGACTGCCCTCCTCATTGCTCAGGTTTGGGTGGGATGCCTTCCCCTGCCCGTTGACCCTGCCCGTGCCTCCCTTAGGTCCCAGTCTCATGGCAGCAGGAGGGGAGCCCCTCCTCCCACCCCTTCCCTATATCCTCTCCACCCGGCTCTCCCCCCTCCTTTTCTCCTTCCACCCTCCCCAATTTCCTCCCCACCTGGCCCTCACCCTCCCTTCCCCATATTCCTCCTCACCTGGCCCTGCTTCTCCCTTCCTTCTTCCTCCCTCCCTTCCCCATATTCCTTCTCACCTGGCCCTCCCCTGCTTCTTTCTTGGTCAGGATCAGATCTAAAATAGCAAATCTTTTTGTTGTCTCTCTTACCATCTGGACCATGAAAATTTCTGCAAATGCCCAATACTATCTATCTAAATACTCAATATCTCTTCTATCTATCTATCTATCTATCTATCTATCTATCTATCTATCTATCTATCTACCTATCTATCTATCAGTCTCTCTATCTATCATCTCTCTATCTATCATCTCTCTATCTATATAAATGCGCTGTTCGTTTTGAGTGACATCGTAACTCAAAAACTGCTGGACTAATTGCCAACAAATTTGGCCACAAGACACTTACAAACCCAAGGAGTGACCATCACTCAAAAATGATTTTGTCATTTGGGGGTTGTAATTGCTGGAATTTATAGTTAGCCTACGATGAAAGAGCATTCTGAACTCCACCAATGATGGAATTGAACCAAACTTGGCACACAGAACTCCCATGACCAACAGAAAACACTGGAAGGGTTTGGTGGGCATTGACCTTGAGTTTTGGAGTTGTAATGAAGTCGAGGAAGAATTTAAAAGGGTCTTGCCCTGAAGGAGAGACCCTGCGGACCCACCAAAGAGGGCTCGCTACAATGGTGAGCGCAGAGAAGCCGCAATTTAAAAGATTTCCCTAAGATCCCAAAAGAATCTCACCAAAGTTGAAGGAAGCGCCACTGAGTTGATTTTATTGCGATCCAGCTGGAAAGGATGCAAAGCAGCAATATTTCGCCAAGCAGAGCATACAAAGTACAAAAATAAAGCCTTTATATACATAAAACAGCTGTCTGATTGATTGGCACTCTACAACTGGGAGGAGGCTTGGCCGCCTCCTGAGCGCCTTAACCATTGGGTGAGCTCACACCACTTCGGCCTCCTGGCCAATCAGGAGAGGAGGCGGCAGGACGAGAGGGAAACATTGAGAACTGGAGTGGATTATGGAAATATGTGGTGTCCATGTGGTCGGCGAGTCCTCAGGGGGCCTTCTAGCAAGCCAGCCTATTGTCTTTGATGGGTGGCAATAAATAGACCTTGACATTTGAGAGTTGTAGTTTCTGGGATTTATAGTCCACCTACAATCAAAGAGCATTCTGAACCCTGCATGCCCATCTAACCCTAAAATATCCAGCCTATTTCACTTGGCCATGCCCAGCATTTTAAAAAAATTAATCATTACATTTGGCCCTGCCACAGGTTTTTAAATGTGCCGTGATTATTGTTTTGCTTTGTTTATGAGTTATTATTGTTGTATTGTTGTCATTGTGTTTTATTGATATATTTGGGCTCGGCCTCTTGTAAGCCGCACCGAGTCCTGCGGGAGATGGTAGCGGGGTATAAATAAAGGTTTATTATTATTATTATTATTATTATTATTATTAATACAGTTCGTGTTGTGGTGAGCCCCAACCATAAAATTATTTTTGTTGCTACTTTATAACTGTAATTTTGCTACTGTTATGAATCGTAATGTAAATGTCTGATATGCCAGATGTACTTTCATTCACTAGACCAAATTTGGCACCAATATCCAATACTCCCAAATTTGAATACTGGTGGGGTTCGGTGGGGGGTATTGAGTTTGTCATTTGGGAGCTGTAGTTGCTGGCATTTATAGTTCACCTACAATCAAAGAAAAATCTGAGCTCCACCAACGACAGAATTGAACAAAACTTGCCACACAGAACTCCCAAGACCACAGAAAATACTGGAATGATCTGGTGGGCATTGACCTTGAGTTTTGGAGTTGTAGTTCACCTACATCCAAAGAGCACTGTGGACTCAAACAATGATGGATCTGGACCAAACTTGGCACAAATAATATGCCCAAACGTGGACACTGGTGGAGTTTGGGGGAAAATAGACCTTGACATCTGGAAGTTGTAGTTGCTGGGATTTATAGTTCACCTACAATCAGGGACTCTGGGGGTTGGTGCTCATCTCAATTTCTAAGCCGAAGAGCCAATATTGTCCGTAGACACTTCGAAGGTCATGTGGCTGTCATGACTGCATGGAGTGCTGTTACCTTCCCACCAGAGCAGCACCTATTGATCTATTCACATTTGCATGTTTTCGAAATGCTAGGTTGGCAGTAGCTGGGGCTACTAGCGGGAGCCGACACCGCTCCCTGGATTCAAACTGCAAACCTTTCGGTCAGCAAGTTCAACAGCTCAGTGGTTTAACCTGCTATATGGTCTATGATGGGAGCCCCTGGTGGCACAGCAGGTTAAACTGGAGCTACTGAACTTGCTGACCGAAACGTAGACAGTGCGAAGGCAGTTGAGAATTATCTCAAACATATCTGAAACTGGACTGATCAGTTTTGTACCTGTATATGCTGAACCCATGAAGGTTGTGAATAAACCAAATATTATTTTTATCAAAGTCTACATCATTTTTCTCTCTTGCGTGCATGATATAAAACAAGTTGCTTTATGGGAGAGTATATATATTTTGGGCACTGAAGAACAACTTCTGAAGCATTGCTGTTTTTTATGCACTGGCAAAATCTCTGTTTTCCTAGCAGATCAGAAATAACAGGTTATTCAGTCTAAGAACTGAAACCACTGCTTTGCATAATTATATCTGATTGTATAACACAAAAGAAGATTCTGCTCTAAAGCGTTTTTTGCTCTTCTCTGAAAAGTCATGCTTTTCTAAAAGTTATGATTTCCAAAAGGTGTTTTCCCAAAAGGTTATAAATACCATTTTCCATAAACAACAACTTTAAAATATACAATGTAACATAAAATTATTTATTAAAAGAACTTCAAAGAGTTACATAGATGCTCCATAGCATCATCCATCTTATAGAGAATTAAAAATAAACTAAATTAAATTTAAATAAGTCTAAAATTCACATATGACAACAAAGTGCTAGGATTAGGTTGAGATTCAATTAAAAGCTGATTCAAACAGGAAGGTCTTCACTCCTTTTCTAAATGACATGAGGGTGGGAGCTGATCTGATTTCTTCTGACAGTGCATTCCAAAGCTTTACCGCCGCCCCTGAAAAATGCCATTGCTGGTGATTTTTAACTGTAGGTTGTCCCTGTGCTGAGTAGAGAAGACAGTCTTCTTGCTAGACCTTAAAGGTATGCCCAGTCTGTGTGGTACGACACAGGTGTCTCAAGTAGCCTGGACTGAAGCTGTGTAGGGCTTTATAGGTTTCTCCTCAGTGTGAGTCCTTTGATGTAAACGTAGATGTCCACTCTGAGTGAAGCCCTGTTCACACTCTAGATATTTATAGGGTTTCTCCTTTGATGTATATGCAGATTTCAACTCAGAACAAAGCTCTTTCCACACTCAAGGCATTTATAGATCTTCTCCCCAGTGTGAATTATTTGATGTGAATGTAGACTTCCACTCTGTGTTAAGCTGTGTCCACACTCCACGCATTTATAGGGTTTCACCCCAGTGTGAATTATTTGATGTGACTGTAGATGTCCAATCTCAGTGAAGCCCTTTCCACACTCCAGACATTTATAGGGTTTCTCCCCAGTGTGAATTCTTTGATGTGAACGTAGGTTTCCACTCTGAGCAAAGCTCTGTCCACACTCCAGGCATTTATAGGGTTTCTCCCCAGTGTGAGTCCTTTGATGCGAACGTAAGCCTGAACTCTGAGTGAAGCTCTTTCCACAATCCAGGCATGTATAAGGTTTCTCCCCAGTGTGTGTCATCTGATGTGAACGTAGACTTGAACTACTAGTGAAGGTATTTCCACACTCCAAGCACGTATAGGGTTTCTCTCCAGTGTGAATCCTTTGATGTGAATGTAGACCTGAACTCTGAGAAAACCTCTGTCCACACTCCAGGCATTTATAGGGTTTCACCCCAGTGTGAGTCCTTTGATGTGTCTGTAGATGTCCACTCTCAGTGAAGCGCTGTCCACATTCCAGGCATTTATAGGGTTTCTCCCCAGTGTGAATTCTTTGATGTGAACGTAGCTTTCCACTCTCAGTGAAGCTCTGTCCACACTCCAGGCAAGTATAGGGTTTCTCCCCAGTGTGAGTTCTTTGATGTAATTGTAGATGTCCATTCTGAGTGAAACCCTTTCCACACTCCAGGCATTGATAGGGTTTCTCTCCAGTGTGAGTCCTTTGATGTGAACGTAGATGTCCACTCTCAATGAAGCTCTTTCCACACACCAGGCACATATAGGGTTTCTCCCCAGTGTGAGTCCTTTGATGTCTATGTAGATTTCCACTGTGAGTGAAGCTTTGTCCACACTCCAGGCATTTATAGGGTTTCTCCCCAGTGTGAATCCTTTCATGTCGCAGCAGATGGGCCCTCCAAGTGAACCTCTTGCCACACTCAAGGCATGTATAGCATTCCTTCTCCATGTTGACAGTTATGTATATGATCAACTGCAATATGGACATTTGAATCTTCCCTTTTTCTTTCTGATCAAAATGAGTTCTGCAAGATCAGCACCTGGTGAGGATTTCTTCTTCCTATATTTTCTATATTCCTTCTTCCTTCATTACTGCACTTTGGTTTCCAAATTTCCAAATATCCACTATATACTGATATTTTCTCATCATGCCAGAGGTGTCTTCATAGGGTTCTCATTTCCCTGTTCAAGAAAGAAGAAGCAAAAGATTAAACATGAGCTGTAAACCTTCTTTGTTTCCAAGATTATCCCCTTTTCCCTTCATGGCTCATGTTGAAAATGAAAATACCAAGAAATTGAGGTGTGACAGGTCTCAAGGACATATGCAGAAATCAGCAAAGGTGATTCATAAACAAGAAGGAATGGATTTAGAATAAGGAGGGAGGGAGGGAGGGAGGGAGGGAGGGAGGGAGGGAGGGAGGGAGGGAGGGAGGGAGGGAGGGAGGGAGGGAGGGAGGGAGGATGAAAAAAGGATTGATAGAAGGGTGGAAGGAAGGATGGATGGAAGAAAAAAAGGGGACTTTTTATTTATTTATTTAATACATTTATATTCCGCCCTTCTCACCCCGAAGGGGACTCAGGGCGGAGCACAGCATATATATGGCAAACATTTAATGCTGGGAAACAAATTCATGTACACATACATAAACATTAAAGACATATATCTCAATATTAAAATATACCATTTAAAACCGTCCTAGTCATCAGCGTCAAATCTAATTGGACTGGTAATCTTTCTTATTGCTGCTTTATTGCCCCATCCCGAAAGCTTGGTCCCACAGCCAAGTTTTAACCATCCTTCTAAAGGACAGGAGGGAGGGGGCCGACCTGATCTCACAAGGAAGGGAGTTCCATAGCTGGGGAGCAATCACCGAGAAGGCCCTGTCTCTCGTCCCCACCAATCGTTCCTGTGACAATGGCGGGACAGAACGCAGGGCCTCCCCGGAGGATCTTAAATTTCTGTGATGGTTCACAGGGGGAGATGCGTTCGGACAGGTAAATTGGGCCAGGGTCGTTTAGGGCTTTATAGGCCAAAGCCAGCAATTTGAATTGTGCCCAGTAGAAAACAGGCAGCCAGTGGAGCTGGAGTAACATGGGAGTTGTATTCTCCCCATATGCCGCCCCAGTTATTAACCTATCTGCGTCTTGTTTGACTATTTGAAGCTTCCGAGCAGTCTTCAAAGGCAACCCCACGTAGAGTGCGTTGCAGTAGTCTATCCTAGCTGTAATGAGAGCGTGGACCACCGTGGCCAAGTCTGACTTCCCAAGGTACGGGCGCAGCTGGCGCACAAGTTTTAATTGTGCGAATGCTACCCTGGCCACTGCTGCAACCTGGAATTCCAGACTCAGTGATGAGTCCAGGAGGACCCCCAAACTGCGAACCTGTGCCTTCAAGGGGAGTGTAACATTGATTTTGTTGGTTTGACCCTAAAAATGTCTAAAAGTACAGAAGGCAGGCTAAACAGACCTAGCTCTTTAAGACATTCCTCATAGGGCATGGTCTTCAGATCTTTGACCATTTTAGTTGCCCTCCTCTGGAAACCTTTCAGCTGGTCAATCTTTTTTGAAGTGTGGTGCCTAGAATTGGACACAATATTTATTTATTTACTAGCTGTACCCTGGCCACGCGCTGCTGTGGCCTCAGAAAACAGGAATCCTGGACATGAAACAATCTGGGCTAGGGAACACCTCCCCACAAAGATTTCCTGTAGGCAGGAAGAAGCCAGGGTTTTAAGCTGCAAGGCTTTCCAAACGTTATGAAGACAGGCAATGTATGTGTATATGTATATATGTGTGTATATATGTGTGCATGTGTATATGTATATATGTGTGGTTTGCATGTGTATATATATGTGTGTATATACTTATGTATGTGCATATGTATATATGTGTGCATGTGTATATATGTTATGTATGTGTATATATATATGTATTTATGTGTGTATGTATATGAGTGCATATGTGTTTGTGTAGATATGTGCATGTGTGTGTTGTTTGTATATGTGTGTAGGCCTGGGCTTACTTGGGCCCTCCAGACATTTTGGACGTCAGTTCCCACAATTCCTAACAGCCAGAACAGCATGGCTGTTAGGAATTGTGGGAGTTGAAGTCCAAAATGCCTGGAGGGCCCAAGTAGGCCCAGGCCTGGAGTGTGAGATTTGTTACTGAACCCTGTGTGTCTTTAGAGGCCTGTGCAGCCTCCTCCTGGCGTGGCTCCTCTGCCCTCCCTCACTCCCTTCCCTTTCCCTCTCACCTTCCTTGCCTGACCAATGCAAAAGACTTGCTTGCTTCTTTGCTCTGTCTGTCCTTCTCCACCTCCCTCCCTCCCTCCTTCCCTCTCCCCCCCCCCCTCTCTCTCTGCGAAGGCTCTCTAAAGGCTGCTTTTCAGAGCAGCTTTGCTGGGATGTTCTGGCTTCTCGGTTTGGCTTCCGAAGCAGGGACGGCCAGCTGCTTTGCTAGGGATGGCTGTTTGTTTCCCCCTCTCGCACAAGAGGGGGTGTGGCTAGGTTTTGCACATGCGTGGTGAGGTATTTTTTATTTTTTAAGAATGCTGAAGTTATTTTCACGGTTTTGGGTTTTTTGTCATCGTTGGTCATACCTTGCGGTATGAGAAGTTTGGAGGCCAAATTTGATGTCAGTTGGCCCCATAGTTTGTTTGTTTTTAGGCAACTAACGACGACATGAGCATTTTTATATATTAAGATTTACTATCTTTGTATACCGCTTTTCTCAGTCCTCGGGCGACTCAAAGCGATTAACAGTAGCAAAATTCAATGCTCAAAACATCATAAAACAGTTAAAAACAATTAAAACAGTAGCATAATTAACAATAATTATACATCAATAAAACATCTCATTAACGTCTCATAGTTAGAATCAAGATCCAGTTTTATCATCCAATTGTTCCATATTCCTATATTCATTCCACTGCCTTTTCAAATGCCGGCTTGCCTGCTTGAGCAACCAGGTCTTCACTTTCCTTCGAAATGCTAACAGGGAGGGGGGCGATCTAATATCTGTAGGAAGGGCGTTCCACAGCCGAGAGGCCACCACTGAGAAGGCCCTGTCTCTCATCCCCACCAGACGTACTTGTGACGCAGGCAGGACCGAGAGCAGCAGGGCCTCCCCAGACGATCTTAACGTCCTAGCTGGTTCATAGGAGGAGATGCGTTCGGACAGGTAAGTTGGGCCAGAACCGTTTAGGGCTTTATAGGCCAAAGCTAGCACTTTGAATTGTGCCCAGTAGCAAACTGGCAGCCAGTGAAGCTGGCGCAACAGAGGAGTTGTATGCCCCCTGTTAGTAACCTGGCTGCCGTCACTTGGACCATTTGAAGCTTCCGGACAGTCTTCAAAGCAACCCCACGTAGAGAGCATTGCAGTAGTCTAAACGGGATGTAACCAACATTCCAACTGAGGTCTAACCAAAGAAGAACACAAAGGCACTGTGATGGCACACTGGGGTTGAAGGAAAATCTATATGTCTGGCTATTCCAGGTGGCCATCGGTATACCCTCTGATGTACTTCAGTTCTTTAAAATAAAGACTCTTGAGACAGGATGAAAGTCAACCAAATAAGTTTACTGGAAACAAAGGCAAAGTGAATTTCACTCAGAGTTCTTGAAAGGTGAATCAAAACAAAGTATGACAAAGACGAAGTTATTATTATTATTATTATTATTATTATTAACTTTATTTATACCCCGCTAACAACCTAGCAGTTCGAAAACATGCAAATGTGAGTAGATCAATAGGTACCGCTCCGGCAGGAAGGTAACGGCGCTCCATGCAGTCATGCCGGCCACATGACCTTGGAGATGTCTTCGCACAACGCTGGCTCTTCGGCTTAGAAATGGATATGAGCACCACACCCCAGAGTCAGACATGACTGGACTTAATGTCAGGGGACCACCTTTACCTTTTTAACATCTCCCGAAGGACATTTTTTAACATCTCGCCAAGGCCCTCAATAAAACAACAGCATAACAAATACAACAATAAAACTCATAAAGCAAAACAATAAACACTAAAGCAATAACAATAAACATTAGAACAATAACACCATGATGCATTTAAAACTAAAGGCCAGGCCAAATGAATAAAATTTAAAAAGTGCTGGACATGACAGGTGAAATGTATAGGTTTTTAGAGGTAGGTGCGGTGTGCAGACAATCTCAAATCTATACATATAATAAAAGTCAAAGTTTGTATGCGGAGGACAAAAGTGTGGCAGTGCGACGGGAGGAGTATGTGCCAGCGTTCTGATTGGCTGCCGCTGTGGTGCTATTTGCATATGGTCTCTGATTGGCCAGCTTCAATAGGAGCCCCTGGTGGAGAAAAGAGTTCATGACAGAAACGGGGACATGAGAAGGAAATTTGCATATGGTCTCTGATTGGCCAGCCTCAATTCCAAGATTCTGAGATGACAAAGAGAGGAAAGGAAAAGGCCGGGGGCTGAGTCAGAAAATTACCAATATAGACCAAACCTGGCACACAGAGTCCCCATGACCCACTTTACGTCCTGGTGTGGTTTGGCCGGGGATAGACCATGGATAATGGGACTTGCAGTACCTTTGCCCAATTCCTGTGACCATTGCAACCCTCATCCAATTACCGAAAAAGACCAAACTTGGCACACTGAGTCTCCATGATGCACTCTACATCCTGGTACGGTTTGGAGGAGGATGCATCATGGACGATAGGACTTGCAATACATGCATTCCCTTCCTCAGTCCAAGAAACTGTCAGCAATGATGGATCAGGACCACAATTCACACTGAGAGACCGCATGACCCACTCTACATCCTGGTACAGTTTCCAGCAGGATGGACCATGGATGATGGGACTTGAAGTACCTCCACTCACATTCTGAGACCTCTGCGAACCTCATCCAATGACTGATCAAAACCAAAGTCAGCACACAGAGACCCCATGACCCATTCTGATGCTGTTTCAAGCACAATGGACCATGGATGATGGGACTTAAAGTATCTCCACTCACTTCCCAAGACTGCTGCAACCCTCATCTAATGACAGATCAAGGCCAAAGTTGGCACACAGACCTCCCATGGGCCACTCTACATCCCAGTGCTGTTTGGAGGATGGATGATGGGACTTCAAGTACCTCCACTCACTTCCCAAGACTACTGCTACCCTCAAACCAACCTTGATACACAATTCCTTTCTCAAATAACCCGGGCAGCGCCGGGTCCCCAAGCTAGTCTCTAATAAAGTGCATTTGGGACATGATGCTAGGCGTTTCCTATTCTGGAAAGGCACACTGGAACAGCCACGTCTTCAAGCTCTTCCTAAAGACTGCCAACGTTGGGGCTTGTCTGATGTCCCTGGGGAGAGAGTTCCAGAGTCAGGGGGCTATCACCGAAAAGGCCCACGGACTCTTAGATCTACTGGGGAGGCCCTCCTCTCACTTCCACCACCGTCCCAAATGCGGTTAGTGAGGACAAGGGAGAGGGCCTTTTTGGTGGTGGCCCCCTGCCTTTGGAACACCCCCTTCCAAAGAGGTAAGACAAGCCCCGTCATTATCCTCCTTCCGCAGGGACCTAAAAACCTGATGGTTCCAGCAAGCTTTTGGAAATGATTAGCCCCAGGCCCTACCCCGGCCATCAGTTAGGTCCCTGCTCTGCTCTTTACTTCCCCAGACCTATCCTACCTTGTTTTTGTAGCCCTGGCCCAGCCCTGTTATAGCTACTGAGCAGGCCTTGGAAATGAGTAGCCCCAGGCATTAGTTAGGACCCTGCTCTTCACTTTACTCACTTCTCCGGCCCTATGTTACTTTGCTGCACTAGCCCAGCCCTCTCAAAGTTGTCTAGGCCCACTTTGAAATCCTGGCCATTGGTAGTTGAATATTTGTCTCATGGAAATTACTACTGGTACTGGTTTTTAAAATGTAAATATGTAAATACTGTTTTATAGTATTATGTTTATGTTTTATAATGGTTATTTTGTATGTTCTTCGTGTTGGTAATCAAATGTTTTACCTATGCTGGAAACCGCCCTGAGTCCCGTAGGAGAGATAGATGGGTAAACAAATAAAGTTTTATTATTATTTTATTTATTATAACTACAACTCCCAAATGTCAAGGTCTATTTTCCCCAAATTCCACCAGCGTCCACAGTGCTCTCTGAATGTAGATGAACTACAACTCCCAAACTCAAGGTCATTGTCCACCAAACCCTCCCAGTGTTTTCTGTTAGTCATGGGAGTTCTGTGTGCCAAGTTTGGTTCAATTCCATTGTTGGTGGGGTTCAGAATGCTCTTTAACTGTAGGCGAACTACAAATCCCAGTAACTACAACTCCCAAATGTCAAGCTGTATGTTCCCCAAACTACAACAGTGTTCACGTTTGGGCCTATTGAGTATTCATGCCAACTTTGGTCCAGACCCATTGTTGTTTGCATCCACAGTGCTCTCTGAATGTAGATGAACTACAACTCCCAAACTCAAGGTCATTGTCCACCAAACCCTCCCAGTGTTTTCTGTTAGTCATGGGAGTTCTGTGTGCCAAGTTTGGTTCAATTCCATTGTTGGTGGGGTTCAGAATGCTCCTTAACTGTAGGCGAACTACAAATCCCAGTAACTACAACTCCCAAATGTCAAGCTGTATGTTCCCCAAACTACAACAGTGTTCACGTTTGGGCCTATTGAGTATTCATGCCAACTTTGGTCCAGATCCATCGTTGTTTGAGTCCACAGGACTCTCTGGATGTAGGTGAACTACAACTCCCAAACTCAAGGTCAATACCCACCAAACCTGTCACGTATTTTCTATTGATCATGGGAGTTCTGTGTGCCAAGTTCATCTTTGGAGGAGTTCAGAGTGCTCTTTGATTGTTAGTGAACTATAAATCCCAGCAACTACAACTCCCAAATGACAAAATCAATTCCCTCCAACCCCACCAGGATTCAGGTTTGGGTGTATCAGGTATTTTTGCCCAATTTAGTCCAGTGAATGAAAATACATCCTGCATACCAGATATTTACATTCCGATTCAGAACAGTAGCAAAATGACAGTTATGAAGTAGCAACGAAAATAAGGTTATAGTTGGGGTCACCACTACATGAGGAACTGTATGAAAGGGTTGAAAAACACTGCTTTTAAAGGCTCCTCTCACCTCCTCCTCCCAAGAAGCCTTCCTGCCTTCCTTCCTTCTCTTCTCTTCTTCCTCCCAACTTGCAGGTGACGTCACTCCCTCATTCCAAGGAAGCAGAAGAAGAGGCTTCTGGGAAAAGGAGGAAGGACCTCCAGGCTTCTCTGCCTGCTCTCAGAGGCCGCCTTCTTGCTTTCCCTCCATCCCCTCCGTCAATCAAAGTTGGAAAGAGGCAGGCAGTCAATGGGTGCCTTCGGCGGGCGGGGCTTCCCGGATTCAGCCAATGGGTGGACGAAGGCCGGCTAGAGGGAGAAGGCGAAGGAGGAGAAGGGGCACTTCTTCTCTCTTGCTGTCATTTCTTTCTGAGGGGGGAAGGCGGTGGTTGAGGCAGAGTCAGAGAGAGAGCGAGAGAGGTGTATATATCTACTTACCTATCTACCTACCTGTCTATCTACCTAACTGTCTAGCTATCTACCTACCTACTTATTTATCTATCTACCCACCTACCTGACTATCTATCTACCTATCCATCTACCTACCTATCTACCTACCTGTCTATCTACCTACCTATATATATCTATCTACCCACCTGTCTGTCTGACTATCTGCCTGCCTGCCTATCTACCTACCTAATCTACCTACCTACCTACCTACCTACCTGCCTGTCTATGTATCTACCTACCTATCTACCTACCTAATCTATCTACCTACCTGTCTGTCTATCTACCTACCTACCTGTCTATCTACCTGCCTGTCTGTCTATCTACCTACCTACCTAATCTATCTACCTACCTACCTACCTGTCTGTTTGTCTATCTATCTACCTACCTGTCTGTCTGTCTGTCTACCTACCTATATATCTACCTACCTACCTACCTAATCTATCTACCTATCTACCTACCTACCTGTCTGTCTGTCTGTCTGTCTACCTATATATCTACCTACCCACCTGTCTGTCTGTCTATCTATCTACCTACCTACCTGTCTACCTACCTGTCTATCTACCTGTCTGTCTGTCTGTCTGTCTACCTACCTACCTACCTAATCTATCTACCTGTCTACCTACGCCACTACCTAATCTATCTACCTACCTGTCTGTCTGTTTGTCTACCTACCTACGTATCTACCTACCTGTCTGTCTGTCTGTCTGTCTACCTACCTATATATCTACCTACCCACCTGTCTGTCTGTCTATCTATCTACCTATCTATCTACCTACCTACCTG